TCTTCATGACCGGCAAGAAGTAATGAATAACTATTATATAAACAATTACCATTGCCCGTTGATTTATAAGCAGTAAATTTATTTTCTCCTCCAAAAAAGTCTTTGAAATGTTTTTGATTTAAAATTCTATTAGCCGCGTCATCTTTCCCATGTTTTACCCCATCAATTTTAATTCCTTCATTTATGTTAAAATTTTTTAAAATATCATCAACATTAAATTCGTGATTTGTAGCAATTTCACTTAATTTATCTCGTAATTGTTGTTTGCTAATGTCTCAAATATTATCATCTGGTCTTCCTTTATCACTAATGAATTCGTCTATTTCTTGGAGAATGTTAGTAATAATCGGTTTGTTAACTTCTACTCCTAATTTACGAAGTTGGTCCTCTCTGTCTTTGTAAACCTCTATTTCACTTTCTTCACGGTAAGTTTCAATGTATTTTCTTAAATTAGCAACTTTTTCTTTTAAAATATTTTCATCATAGCCTTCTTTTTCATCACCTTTATCATCATATTTTAAGTTGTAAGTTTCATCAATTAATATTTTAGCAACCTCGGCGAAAAAATCTCTTGCCGCCTCATCCGTTTCATCAGCAGGGATTTTAGAGATCTCTTCTCTTCAAGAAGTTGTTGCTTTGCTCCGTTCATCAAATTCATCATCAGTCATCTTAACAGTGGCTAGTCTCTTTTCAATTTTTTTGATGAGAGAAGTTGATAATCCTTGCTCTAAATTATCATAAAATTGGTTAATATTGAGAATAGAATAAGTGTTAGTGTTGCCATCAAAATCAAATTTAACTTTGGAGTCTAATCCCTCGCTTCCTGGTTTATTCCATTTAATACCGCTAATTTTAATTTTATCTCCTTCTTTCAGATCGGATACTTTGGCCTTGTCTCTTTTGACAAACAAGTGAAGTCGAGAAATAGTTGGTAAATCCGGAATCTTTAGGTCTTCAATTTTTACGGTTAAGTATCTATCGGAAGCAATAAAATTATCATCTGAAACGTTCTCTGATAAAGTAAATTCTAACTCCTGCGGAAGAGTAGTCAATTGACCGATATCTTGGAAAGTAAAATCATCGTCTAACTGTCAAATTAATTCTCTTGCCTCGCTATAATTGCCAACATAATCAGAAAGAATTTTACTAAATGAAGAATTTATTTTTAATAAGGAATTATTGGTTATAAGGTTTCAAGTGTCTACTTCATCTTTACGGTCCTTGGGAAAACAAATATATTTAACTTTGCGTTGTTCATCAATTTTAATAGGTTCATAAAGTTCACAAACTACACAGTTTTCTGGTAGGACAGAGGAAAATCTACTTCCAACATCAACGGAAAGAATTTTTGAGTAAATGTTTTGTTTAGGAGCGGGGGTTTCTTCTCGGTCTTTTTTAATGTTTCGGTATTCTTCTCAGCCATAATATTTTGGTTCGTCATCAATTTCCGCTTCGGAGAAAATAGGGGCTTCTGAATGAAGGCTTTCGGTTTCAACTTTTCTTTTCAGGTAGGGATTAAGCAGAGTAGGAAAAATAACTTTAGTAGTAGAGGTTTCAGATCAATCATTACCGATACTAATACAAGGAGCATAACAAAAATAATTAAAGTTACTATCATCAATTTCGTCTATACTAATGGGCGGACGGGCTTCCATGAAATTTGTATCATAGAGTTGGTCAGTGAAATAAGTTGTCTGGTAAGTTTCGGGATGAGTTTTTAAGTACCCATAAAAAGATTTTCAGATGTCAGAAATTATGTTTTTTAACTCCTGGATTTTTTCTACTCCTTTGTCGTAGTCTTTTTTGGGTAAATCATCTTTAAGTTGAAAATATTCATTAAATAAGAGAGTTAATTCAGCGGCTTTTTCTTTTACTATATCGCTGTCCGGATGGTAGCTATGTTTGGCAATAAAACCGGCTGCGGTTTGGCGAACTCTATTCGCCGCAATTTGAGAAAGAGAAAGAGTTTGTTCTCCTCTTCTAGTTTATTTGCTGAATACAATCTTATCCCTCCTGAAGATGCTCCGGATGCCCGAGTAAAAAATGCTAAACAAAAAGCTGCTATTTATCCTTTAACTCGTAAATTTTTGGATAATTTATTGGCTACTCCTATTGAAGAAATTCCGGTTTCCAAAAACAGTTGAGAAGAAAAATTATGAACTGCGACAAACGAATTAATTAAGAAAATTGAAACTGAGCCGGAGGTGAAAAAAACCTACACTAGAAGAGGAGAACAAACTCTTTCTCTTTCTCAAATTGCGGCGAATAGAGTTCGCCAAACCGCAGCCGGTTTTATTGCCAAACATAGCTACCATCCGGACAGCGATATAGTAAAAGAAAAAGCCGCTGAATTAACTCTCTTATTTAATGAATATTTTCAACTTAAAGATGATTTACCCAAAAAAGACTACGACAAAGGAGTAGAAAAAATCCAGGAGTTAAAAAACATAATTTCTGACATCTGAAAATCTTTTTATGGGTACTTAAAAACTCATCCCGAAACTTACCAGACAACTTATTTCACTGACCAACTCTATGATACAAATTTCATGGAAGCCCGTCCGCCCATTAGTATAGACGAAATTGATGATAGTAACTTTAATTATTTTTGTTATGCTCCTTGTATTAGTATCGGTAATGATTGATCTGAAACCTCTACTACTAAAGTTATTTTTCCTACTCTGCTTAATCCCTACCTGAAAAGAAAAGTTGAAACCGAAAGCCTTCATTCAGAAGCCCCTATTTTCTCCGAAGCGGAAATTGATGACGAACCAAAATATTATGGCTGAGAAGAATACCGAAACATTAAAAAAGACCGAGAAGAAACCCCCGCTCCTAAACAAAACATTTACTCAAAAATTCTTTCCGTTGATGTTGGAAGTAGATTTTCCTCTGTCCTACCAGAAAACTGTGTAGTTTGTGAACTTTATGAACCTATTAAAATTGATGAACAACGCAAAGTTAAATATATTTGTTTTCCCAAGGACCGTAAAGATGAAGTAGACACTTGAAACCTTATAACCAATAATTCCTTATTAAAAATAAATTCTTCATTTAGTAAAATTCTTTCTGATTATGTTGGCAATTATAGCGAGGCAAGAGAATTAATTTGACAGTTAGACGATGATTTTACTTTCCAAGATATCGGTCAATTGACTACTCTTCCGCAGGAGTTAGAATTTACTTTATCAGAGAACGTTTCAGATGATAATTTTATTGCTTCCGATAGATACTTAACCGTAAAAATTGAAGACCTAAAGATTCCGGATTTACCAACTATTTCTCGACTTCACTTGTTTGTCAAAAGAGACAAGGCCAAAGTATCCGATCTGAAAGAAGGAGATAAAATTAAAATTAGCGGTATTAAATGGAATAAACCAGGAAGCGAGGGATTAGACTCCAAAGTTAAATTTGATTTTGATGGCAACACTAACACTTATTCTATTCTCAATATTAACCAATTTTATGATAATTTAGAGCAAGGATTATCAACTTCTCTCATCAAAAAAATTGAAAAGAGACTAGCCACTGTTAAGATGACTGATGATGAATTTGATGAACGGAGCAAAGCAACAACTTCTTGAAGAGAAGAGATCTCTAAAATCCCTGCTGATGAAACGGATGAGGCGGCAAGAGATTTTTTCGCCGAGGTTGCTAAAATATTAATTGATGAAACTTACAACTTAAAATATGATGATAAAGGTGATGAAAAAGAAGGCTATGATGAAAATATTTTAAAAGAAAAAGTTGCTAATTTAAGAAAATACATTGAAACTTACCGTGAAGAAAGTGAAATAGAGGTTTACAAAGACAGAGAGGACCAACTTCGTAAATTAGGAGTAGAAGTTAACAAACCGATTATTACTAACATTCTCCAAGAAATAGACGAATTCATTAGTGATAAAGGAAGACCAGATGATAATATTTGAGACATTAGCAAACAACAATTACGAGATAAATTAAGTGAAATTGCTACAAATCACGAATTTAATGTTGATGATATTTTAAAAAATTTTAACATAAATGAAGGAATTAAAATTGATGGGGTAAAACATGGGAAAGATGACGCGGCTAATAGAATTTTAAATCAAAAACATTTCAAAGACTTTTTTGGAGGAGAAAATAAATTTACTGCTTATAAATCAACGGGCAATGGTAATTGTTTATATAATAGTTATTCATTACTTCTTGCCGGTCATGAAGA